TAAGCTTGCATCTGATTGGTTTCGCTGTATATCAATTAAGTGATGGGATTGATGATAGGCTTACATCTATTTTTTTAATGACATGCTATCTACCCACACTACTTTTGTGTTCAACTAGTAGATCGCGATCAAAGTATTGAGCACCCCTCTCTTAAATCTTCTTAATGAAAGTCTTTATCTATTGAGCATATTTTATTAAAGTCAGTGTTTATACTTCCTTGTTAGGACAGTTGGAGTTCTCACTGATAAGATTCAAGTATTTCACAGTTATCAGAAACTAGTGAATTATCTAAGTATGCCAATTTTATAGGTCATGCAGTGTTATAGATGTGACTCAGAGGTTGAGTCCTATTGGTGCTGTTAGGTAACCATTGAACTGCTAACCATAAGGTCTGAGGTTGAATACTCCAGCAGCCCTGTAGGAGAAAAATGAGGCCATCTGCTCTGGTAAAGATGGACAACCTCATAAACCCTGCATATGATCACTGAGTGCTAAAGGCTTTGATGACACTGGCTTTGGAGAATCAGAGATGCATGTTCAATTCTTGGCCAACACACATCATGTAAGATGTTGCTCTGATGCTGAATAGGGTTCAGTGGAGATTTCAGACCAAGACAAACAAGGAAGAAAAGTCATGATCTGCTTGCAAAAAAATCAACCAAGAAATATATGACAGCTAATAATCCAAACCTGTTGTGCATGGAGTTGTCACAGAATGATGACCTACTGAGCAATCTATAAAACCAACAAAAGACAGTAAAATGGAGTCTGGTGGATGCTGAAGTTTGTTTACACACACACACACACACACACACACACACACTCTCATTTCCCAGTGACATGTATTATATCCCAGTAATTATAAATTGAAGCCTAAAAATTCAGCTTCCTAGTTCTCATTGGATCTTAATAGGTTTCCATGGCTTTCTCCTTGGGAACAGGCTGAAGGTGGTCTCTAGCTATGCCCAGGGCCTTGTCTACATTCTCTTTTATACCCTAAAAAACACCCTATCCGGGTTTTTAAAAATCTGAGAATATTCCCCCCAGATCAACTAAAGAACCATGCCTCAGTATGATTCTGTGGAAGCTGGCTACAGAAACTGACCTTAGAGAGTTGGGATAATTGGTCAAAGAGCGCAAAGTGCCCAAGAAGCAAAGTCAGGTTTAAAAACAATTTGAATGGAACTTGCCTGGTAGGTTATCTAGTTCTTTTAGGGAAATGTGGAGATGTAGGAACTAAGCATTCTGTCTTATAAGCATTCCTTTTCTTTGCTGCAATCTATAAACTCAAACCCAAGTTCAAAGCAGATAACAGAATCACCGAAAAGCAATTATGTTCTTGATAATTTTCTTCAAGGCCCCCTTCATGTCCCTATTTCTCAGGCTATAGATAAAGGGATTCATCATGGGAGTGACCATAGTGTACATCATTGAAACAACCGCAATCTTTCTGGATGAGTGTGTAAATGCAGTGCTAATATAAGCACCAAAAGCTGTCCCATAAAATAAGAAAACTACTGAGAGGTGAGACCCACAGGTAGAAAAAGCCTTGTATTTTCCCCCTGCTGATGGCATCCTCAAAACGGAGGAGACGATTTTTGTATAAGAGAAAATTATTCCAAAGAGAGGAACACCAGCCAATATGTTAGCTGCAAAATATATACATATATTATTAAGGAGGGTGTCAGAAGAGGCCACCTTGATGACCTGAATAACCTCACAAAAGAAGTAGGGGATTTCAGGGTCTGTGCAGAAAGATAAGCGCAATGCCATGAGACTGTGGAGCAAGGCATCCACACTGCTAATGAGCAAAGCGAGTAGAAGCAGCAGTCTACAAAGACGTGGGTTCATGATGACCATGTACATCAGTGGGTGACAGATGGCCACATAGCGGTCATAGGCCATTGCTAGAAGGAGAAAATTTTCCAAAGCAGCAAAAACCAGGACAAAGCAGGCCTGAGTGAGGCAGCCTGAGTAAGTGATGCTCTGATTCTGTGCTTGGAGGTTCACCAACATCTTTGGGATGGTGGTTGTGCTGAAGCAGATGTCAGTAAAGGAGAGATTGGCAAGAAAGAAGTACATGGGGGTATGGAGGTGGGAGTCAGAGGTGACAGCTAACACAATGAGCAAGTTTCCCAGGACAGTGACCAGGTATATGGACAGAAACAGGCTCAAGAGGATGGGCTGCATTTCTGGGTCTTCTGTCAGTGCTAGGAGAAGGAATTCTGAAACACTTGTTTGGTTTCTGGATTTCATGTTGTTGATATGTCTCATGGAAAAGACGGAGTCACAAGGCAATTACATATGTTATGCCTGGACCATTAGTAGCAACAGCACCGAGAGAACACATCTGAGGTAAAGGAAAGAGAGGAATTTCAGAGAAATACAGAGGAGGAGTCTTTTGTAGACACATTATGGGATTGTTTTAAAAAGGTCTGAAGCTGCTACAGCCTTGTGTAAATGCTTATTTAAGCAGTGATGAGGAGGAGTTCATGCTTTCTCCCCCTCTCTAATTACACTCTCTGTGCTGTTATGACCATTAAACACTTGGCTACTTTAAATTGAATCATACAGACCTGATGATTCTGTCTTAGGCTCCAAATTCTCCAGTGATGAATGCCAGACATCAAAGCAAATAAAACATTGTTTAAGAACCAGGGATATGAACATCAAGTGAAACTGATCATTTTGATCTTTCCCTGTCCCCACAATGGAAGCAAATGTCAGCCACTTTCACAGCAATCTCAACGGGAAGAAGCAGATCTCTGCGTAGGAGGAAATGACCGTTGCCTTTGTAAAGATAACGTAAAGACGGACGGATAATGTAGAGATGAGTTCCCTGGTCTTGTTGCAAAACTATAAGGAAATTTGTCAATACGTTGGAAGATAGGAATTTTTGGCAGACTTGATTCAAATAATTTCAAACACATACTCTATTCAGTTTCTCCTGAATGAAATTGTGGTGAAACATCTGTCCTCATTCCCAAACAACTCTAGGATATTAGTTTATCTGGTTTGCGTCATTGAGGAATAAGCCTTGACATCTTGGCTGGCTGTAGAAGATGTACCCTCAGGAAATGTTGAGAAACTGAGTGAGGGACCAGGGTCATGGGCCTGAGGACCAACTTTGTTAGAATTCTCCGGTGTAACGCTTCTCTATTGGGAGAGGACTGTTGAGTGAGGGGGTCACAGGCACACCAAATGAAGTGTCATATCTCTGGGGGATATCCAAAGCTCCTCATTAATCCAACACTTTAATTCTGCTTCTATGGCAGTGCAAATCCTTAAAGAATAGACTTCAAAAAGTGAAATTAGTCATCACTGATTTCCTGACCCTGTGAAGCCAGCTGCATGCCATTCACCTGTCTTCTCCTGTTTCTCGTCACCTCCATTTCACATACCTTCTATATGTGAACACATTATGTCTAATTTCATTCCAGACTTCCTTAAATATTACACCTGAAGGCAACTCTATCTTCCCAAAGATGCTACTAAGCCTGTTTCTTACTGTAGGTGCAAAAATATAATTTATGAATATGAATGTACCTGTAGTCAAATGGAAACATAGTTATTCGTCTCTAAGACATTTGGAATATCCCTTGAATTTTAACCTTCATTCTTCTACATTGGACATATTCTAAGCTATTCTTTGAAATCAATTCTAAAGGTGATAACTGAATTTACAAGTGTTATAACTGAATTTACAAGTTCTATGGATTCCATAGTGTACATTTTCTATTTATGACTTTATTCACATTAGGGAAGGAGGATAATATTTTGGCCTTGCTTTTGAATGGATTTGAGAGGATGCAGGGTCATTGTTAGGTGTTAGCATGCAGGTTTACCCGTACTCTCACTAGATTTAAGTAGATATTAGCTATTATTTAATAGGCAAAAATGGTGCTGCCATTTAGTTTTCACTTTTACTGTTTTTACCTTTTATGAGTTCATTTCTTTCATGTGTTCCTATATTTATGTAAGCATCTCTATTTCTGTATACATGTTTTAATCTACCATTTTCTATGTATATATTACTTATAATCCACCTTGACACAAGATGGCATGATGATGCCACTCTTTGCCAGCTTACCTGGATTCACTTCAAATACTTGAAATAACAGATAAATTAGAATAAACTATAACTTGTTTAAGATACTACAAAAACACCTGAAGCATAAAAAAACAAGCTATGATTTGTACATACAATTTACAAAAGAAAAAACTAACCATAAAGTGGTCCACATAACAGCTGCAAATTTTAGAAAAGCCTCCAAGGGAGAAATAATTCAAGTTTCTGGCTGGTTTGGTGGCTGGATATATGATGTTCCCAATAGTACTAATCAGGGGAATCAGGAAATGGAATTCAGGATTAGAGGAGTGGTGATTGGTGAAAGTTGTTGTAAACCTGTTGATAAGAGTGATACTGTAAGACTGCTCCATAAGCGTTTTTAGACTGTTTTGAAATCGTGTAACCACAACAGTGTAGAATTTTTCAGGGAAGAATTAGAGAGATAGAAACATCATCTCAGATGGAGAGTATGTTCAGAAGCAATAACTTAATATTTTGTTGTTATTATTATTTTAATCATTTTATTGGGGCTCATACAATTCATCACCATACACAGATCAATTGTGTAAAGCACACTTATATATTTGTTGCCCTCATCATTCTCAAAATTTGCTTTCCTCTTGGGTTCCTGGAATTAACTCATTTTCCTTTTTTCCCCTCCCTCTTCCTCCCCACTCCCCCTCCCTCATGAACCCTTAATAATTTATAAATTATTATTATATCTTATCTTAAACTGCCCGTTGTCTCCCTTCACCCACCCTTCTGTTGCCCATCCCCCAGAGAGGAGGTTATATGTAGATCCCTGTGATCAATTCCCCCTTTCTACCCCCCTTTCCCTCCTTGTATAGTCACTGTCTCCGCTGGTCCTGAGGGGTTCATCTGTCCTAGATTCCCCACGTTTCCAGTTCCCATCTGTACCGCTGTGCATCCTCTGGTCTAACCAGGTTTGCAAGGTAGAATTGGGGTCATGGTAGTTGGGGGGAGGAAGTTTTTAAGAACTGCTATGAGTCTAAAATTGATTCAATGGAACCTAACAACAACTCATCCTAGAAGCTCACTGCCGTCGAGTAGGTTTCGACTCATAGAGAACAGAAGCTGCCATTAACTGAAACCAAGAGAAGGAATGACAGCTTCTAACGGGCCTGAGTAACCTCCAAGGGGGAAGAAAGCCTGTTGCCCGCTCCCCGCTTCACCCAAAGCCACGGTCCTGGACTTGATTTTGGCTCTCAAGACTGTGAAGCTTGACTTCGGTAGACTGCCATATGTTTCTCCTTCAGAATGGCTGGTGAAGCCGGTGTGATCCATGAATTACAAATAATAAAATCCAAATCCCAAGGAGGAACTAGTATCAGAACTTAAATTGCGAACACTTGTGCAGAAAGCTATGGATGACAGTGGAAGCCCCAAATCACATGGTTGAAGTCTGCAGTGAATCCCATCAGACCATAGTCAAGGGATGTGACTTGCCTTGCTATCAGACAGAAAGCATTGTAAAGTTGATTGTGGCAGATGTAGTTAGGCGAAAATATAATACCCTATCATTTGATCTCCCTTTTGACCCATTTTAAAGTCATTTTCATTTTTTATATTTTCTGTTTTCTCTTTGATTGAGGTTTTTCTATGTTTTGTCTAGTCATTAATGTTGGGTGTTTGTTTTGTATGGTTTTGTATGGTTGTATTTTGGTTTGTATGATTTTCTATATATGAAATCCAGGATAACTAGATCTAGAGACAGTAACTATATAGGGGGCATGGCAGGGGAGAATGTGGGGAGGTGGGGCTCGAACAATGAGTTTGAGAAGGAAATGTTCTGAAAATGTGCTGGTGATTGCACAAATCTTAATATGATTGAACAGTTAAATTGTATGAATTGTTAAGTATATGCCAATAAAATTATTTTTTAATCAGAAAAAAAGAAAGAGTAAGAACATAATTTCAAGAAAAAAAGAAGGGGAAAATCTCTATATTCAAATAAAATGTACATTATAATTTAAAAACTCATTTTATTGGGGGTTCATAGAACTCTTTTTAAAAAATCATTTTGGGGGGGCTTGTACAATTCATACATACATGCATGTGTCAAGTACATATGTACCTTTGTTGCCATCATCATTCTCAAAACATTTGCCTTCTACTTAAGCCCTTAATATAGGCTCCTTGTTTTCCCCCTCCCTCTCCACTCCCCCCTCCCTCATGAATCTTTCATAATTCATCAATTATTATTATTTTGTCATATGTTACACTGTCTGACATCTCCCAGCGCCCTCTTCACTGCTGTCCATTCCCCATGGAGGAGGCTATACGTAGATTCTTTTCATCGGTTCCCCCCTTTCCACCCCACGTTCCCTCTACCCTGCATGCATCGCCACTCTCATCACTGGTCCTGGAGGGGTCGTCTGTCCTAGATTCCCTGTGTTTCTAGTTTCTATCTGTATCAACGTACATCCTCTGGTCTAGCCAGGTTTGTAAGGTAGAATTGGGATCATGATAGTGGGTGGGTGGGTGGGGGAGGAAGCATTTAAGAACTAGAGGAAAGTTATATGTTTCAACGTTGCTACCCTGCACCATGACTGGCTCATCTCCTCCCCACAACCCTTAAGTAAGGGGGCGTCCTCATTAATTCAACACTTTACTTTCATTCTGCTTCTATGGCAGTGCAAATCCTTAAGGATCAAGATTTCAAAAGGTGAAATTAGTAATCGCTGATTTCCTGACCCTGTGAAGTCAACTGCATTCAATTCACCTGTCTTCACCCGTTTCTCCTCAACTCCATGTCACATACCTTGTCTATTTGAACACATTTTCTCTAATTTCATTCCAGTCCTCCTTTTTAAAATTACACCTGAAGGAATCTCTATCTTCCCAACGTTGCTAGGAAGCCTGTTTCTTACTTTAGGTGCAAAAATATCATTTAGGTACATGAATGTACATGTAGTCAAATGGAAACATAATTATTTCTCTCTAAGACTTTTGGAATATCCCCTCAATCATAAATTTCATTCTTCTATATAGGACATATCCTAAGGCATTCTTTGCAATTAATTCTGACGGTGCTAACTGTATTTAAAACCGTTACTCCCATCTTTGGATTCCATAGTCATACTACCCAATCTCTTCCTAACAGGTTTCATTGTGTACATTTTCTATTTACGACTTTGTTCACATTAGGGAAGGAGGATACTACTTTGGTTCTCGATTTTCAATGGAGTTGAAAGGATACAGGTCACTGTTAG